TATGATATCCTTCTCCAGAGACTGGTCCCTCCTAACAATATGTCCGAAGTATGAGAGACAAAGTCTGGCCATCCTGGCCTCCAAAGAGCACTCTGGCTGCACTTCTTCAAACACAAATCTGTTGGTTCTTTTGGCAGCCCATGGCACTTTCAATAGTCTCCTCCAACACCACAACTCAAAAGCATCAATTCTTCTACGGTCTTCCTTATTCACTGTCCAGATTTAGCATGTATATGTGGTTATTGAAAATATCATGGCCTGGTTCAGGCACACCTTAGTATTCAAGCTGACATCTTTGCTCTCTAACATTTTAAAAAGGTCTTGTGCAGCAGATATGCCTAATGCAATACATCGTTTAATATGTTGACTGCTGCTTCCGTGAGTGTTGCTAGTTGATCCAATAAGAATGAAGTCCTTGACAACTTCAATCTTTTCTCCACTGATAAGAATGTAGTTTATAGGCCCAGTGGTGAAAATTTTTGTTTCTTTTACATTGAGATGCAATCCACACCAAGGCTGTGGTCTTTGATCTTCATCAGTAAATATTTTAAGTCTTCTTCACTTTCTGAAAGCAAGGGGTTGTATTATCTGCATATCGCAGGTTGTTAATGAGTCTTTCTCCAATCCTGATGCCACGTTCTTTTTTATATAACCCAGATTCTTGGATTATTTGCTCAGCATATAGGTTGAATAAGTATGGTGAAAGAATACAACCTTGTCACACACCTTTCTTAGTTTTAAACCATCCAGTGTTCCCATGTTCTGTTCGAACAACTGCCTCTTTGTCCAGGTACAGATTCCTCATAAGCACAATTAAGTGTTCAGATATACTCATACTTTGCAATGTTGTCCATAGCTTGTCATGATCCACACAATCAAAAACATTTGCATAGTCAATAAAACACAGATCAACATCTTTCTGATATTCTCTGCTTTCAACCAACATCCATCGGACATCAGCAATGATATCCCTCTTTCAACGGCCCCTTCTGAATCTAGCTTGAACCTCTGGCAGTTCTTTGTCAATGTACGCTTAGAGCCATTTCTGTACTACTTTGAGTAAAACTTTACTCTCATGGGATTTCAAAGATATTGTCAGATGATTTCTGCATTCTGTTGGGTCACCTCTCTTTGGAATGGGCACTAATACGGATCTCTTCCAATCAGTCAGCCAGATAACTATCTTCCAATTTCTTGGCAGAGATGAGTGAGTGCCTCCAGTGCTGCCTCACTTTCTTGAAAGATTTCAATTTTTATTACATCAATTCCTGGTGCCTTGCTCTTTGCCAATTCCTTCAATGCACCTTGGACTTCTTCCTTCAGTATAATTGGCTCTTGATCATATACTACCTCTTGAAACGGTTGGACATCAACCATTTCCTTTTGGTACAATGACTCTGTGTATTTCTTCCATCTTCTTTTGATGTTTTCTGCATCATTCAATAACTAGCCCAGAGAATCCTTCAGTAATTAAAGTCGAGGCTTGAATTTTTTCTTCAGTTCCCCCAGCTTGAGAAATGCTGAGCGTGTTCTTCCTTTTTGGTTTTCTGACTCCAGATATTTGCACATTTTGTTGTAATATTTGACTTTATCTTCTCAAGCTGATCTTTGAATTTTTCTGTTCAACTTTTGTACCTCCTCATTTCTTCCATTTGCTTTAGCATCTCTACCCTGGAAAGCAAGTTTCAGTATCACTTCTGACATCCATTTTGACCTTTTCCTTCTTTCTTATCTTTTAATGACTTTTTGCTTTGTTCCTGTTTGATGTCTTGATGTCATCGCACAACTCTTCTGGTCTTTGGTGTTTAGTGTTTAATGTATCAAATCTGTTCTTCAGATGATGTCTAAATTCAGGTGGGATATATTCAAGGTCATATTTTGGCTCTCGTAGACTTGCTTTCATTTTCTTCAGTTTCAGTTTGAATTTGCATATGAGCAATTGATGGTCTCTTCCACAATCTGCCCCTTGCTTTGTTTTGACTGATGATATGTATGGAGTTTTTACATCATCTCTTTCCACAGATGTAGTCAATTTGATTTTTATGTATTCCATCTAGAAAGGTCCATGTGTATAGTCGTTTCTTATGCTGTCTAAAGAAGGTATTTGAAATGAATAAATCATTGATTTTGCAGAATTATATCATGAGATCTCCAGCATCATTTCTATCACCAAGGCCATATTTTCCAACTACCGATCCTTTCCCTTTGCTCCCAACCTTTGCATTCCAATCACCTATAATAATCAATACATCTTGATTACATGTTTGATTAATTTCAGACTGAAGAAATTGGTAGAATTCTTCTATTTCAACTTCACTGGCTTAGTGGTTGGTGTGTAAATTTGAATAATAGAGGTATTAACTGGGCTTCCTTGTAGGCGCATGGATATTATTCTATCACAGACAGTGTTGTATCTCATGACTGATCTGGATATGTTCTTTTTGACAATGAATGTAACACCATTCCTCTTCAATTTGTCATTCCCTGAATAGTAAACCATGTGCTTGTCAGATTTATACTGGCCAATACCAGTCCATTTCAGCTTACTAATGCCTAAAATATCAATGTTTATGTGTTCCATTTTATTTTTGACTGTTACTAATTTTCCTAGATTCATACTTCATACATTCCATGTTCCAATTATTAATGGATATTTATAGCTGTTTCTCTTCATTTTGAGTTGTGCCCCCATCAGCAAATGAAGCTCCCAAGGGCTTTACTACCATAGACTTTACTCCATTCACGTCATCACAGTCAACTCTACTTTAAGGAGGCAGCTCTTCCCTAGTCACATTTTGAGTACCTTCCAACCTGAGGTGCTCATTTTCTGGCACTACATCTGGCAATGTTTCTCTGCTATTCATAAGGTTTTCAGTGACTAAATATTCAGAAGTAATTCATCACTCCTTCTTCCTAGTCTGTCTTCCTCTAGAAGCTCATCTGAAACCTGTCCACCATGGGAGACTCTGCTGGTGGTATTTAAAATACCAGTGGCCTAGCTTCCAAAATCACAGCAATTCACAAGCCACCACAATACGACAAACTGACAGACGTGTGGTGGGATCTTCGTTGTAGGCATGTGGATATTATCCTGTCACAGTTTGTACTTTAAAACATACCTTGAAATCTTCTTTTTGATGATGAATGCAACAGCATTCCTCTTCAATTTATCATTTTGGAATAGCAAACCATGTGATTGTCAGATTCATATGGCCAGTACTGGTCCTTTTCAACTCACTAATGCCTTGAATGGCCAGTACTGGTCCATTTCAACTCGCTAATGCCTTGAATAAGGAGCTCTGGTAGCGTAGTGGTTACAAATCGGGCTGTGAACAGCAAGGTCAGCAGTTCAAAACTACCAGCTGCTCCGCGAGAGAAAGATGAGGCTTTCTGCTCCCATAAAGATTTACAGCCGTGGAAACCCTGTTCAGGGTCGCTATGGGTCTGGACCGACTCGACAGCACTTAACAACAACAACAATGCCTTGAATATCAATGTTGATACTTTCCATTTCATTCTTGACAATTTACAATTTTCTTAGATTCGTACTTTGTACATTCCATGTTCTGATTATTAGCGATGTTTACAGCTATGTGTCTTCATTTTGAGTCTGGGGAACAAAATAATCTGAAGGGGCATGATCAGGACTTTAAGGTAAGTAGGTTGAGGCTTGCCAACAAAATTCTCATGAGACAGCCCTTGCTACCCTGAAAGAATGAATAGGTACTTTGTTGTAGAAAAAAAACTTCTTGGCACAACTTTCCTGGTTTTTTTTTTCTCTTCTCACTCATGCAGTTTTCAGTTTTCTTAAGCTTTCTTTATAATAGTTGGTTGTCCTGTGGTCATCCTGTGTCCTTTAAGAAAAATCTATTTCAAAGGAGATTACTCCTTTGATACCCAAAGAAACAGTCACCATAACCTTTGAAGCTGACATCTCTGCCTTGAATTAAACTGACCCAGCAGATCTCCTGGAAACCATCTCTATTTTGAAGGCACCATAATAAGAGGAAAACAAGTATATTATGGAGAAAATTTGTCTACAATCATCCATTGATCACACTAACATGTTAAAACACACTTTGTTTGGCATAAATCTGAACATGTATGAACTGAAACCCTAATAGTAATGTTTTTAACGTAATCTTTTGTTTGTGTATTGTTGTGTTGTTAAGTGCCATTGACTCAGCTCTGACCCATAGTGACCGAGGAGCAGCTAGTGAGTTTGAACTGCTGACCCTGTGGTTCAAACTGACTTTGCAATCCAGCATATTATCCCACAGCACCACACCAGGACTCCATTTGTGTATATGAATGTATATGAATCTATATTGTATGTGTATAGAGAGGCAGGCAGAGAAAGAGAGCCCTGATGCCGTGCTGTAGGAGAAGCATCTAGATCATTAACTGCAAGTCAGTGTTTCAAATCCACCAGTCACTTCTTAAAAACCTACTCAATGACACTCAACAACAAACATGTATTTATTTATTTATTTATTTATTTTTATGTATTTATTCATTTATTAGTGCACATGTCTCTGGAAATGAGTATCATATTAATATAAAGTTATACCATATACATAAACAGTATTATAAGGTTATAATAATATAATTATTTTTAAAAAACAATTTGTGATATGAGCACCAAAAGACATGTACAAGAATATTTTTTAGCCATTTTATTTATAATAGACCCAAACTAGAAATAACTCAGGTGCCCATTAATAGGAGACTAGGTAAATAAATAATATTTATTCTGTATGCCAATAAAAATTACTAAACACTGGTACACACACTGACATGAATATCCCAGACTCTCCTCAGGGTAAGTAAATATGTTCCATCTGGTGGTCACGTAGGTGATACATATGTACAAATTCAAGCTGCACCCTGAAAATTAGTGTAATTAATGTATTTTATTGAATATATGTTATATCAACAGAAAAAAAAGAAAAAATTGTGACAGAATTTATCCTCAAAATTAAATATTTTAATTTTGTTAGAAAGTCGTGTCTTATGAGCTGATAAAATACGATGTTGCGAAAGATGAACCTGTCCGAGATGAAACTGGATATTGCATCAAAGTTCCCAAAGGTGCAGTGGACTTCTGTTGATTTAACTGGTGCCTTTTCTTACTTTAGTCAGGGGGCTTTTAAGAATCAACATTGTTGTTAAATTGAACACATGATAAATTCCTCAAAATAGAAAAAAGAATTATACTTAGTGCCCTCATAAATACAGAATTGCCAAGAAGTGTCAATTTATCATCACATGTAATATAATTATAATTTTTAACCTAATTTAAAACCTTTTTTAGATAACCATTTTATTGAATGAGATATATAATTACAACTGCAAAACTGTAGTTACTTTAGGTGATCTTTAGTCTTTTGTTTAAAGTGGTATACATTTGTCTATGATGAGTGTAAATTATTATTCAGTAAAAGATTAGCTGTGAAAGAATTACAATTGCTTAGTCATATGAAGAATATACTATATGTGTGTTTGTATATATGTCATTTAATGTATATGTGTATTCAAAACATACTTATCAGCACATGGAAAATGACTCTTTCTACAGCCAGCTGGCTACCAGTGGGCTCTATGGCATCATTTTAAGAGAAGATTGACTATAAGACTTCCTACTTCCAGCACATAAATAATAACTTCTTTTCTGGTGTCAGGTGAAGTCGGACTCCTAGTTTGCAGAATCACACGACTTACACCGTTTAGTGGCTATGCTGGAGGAAAGACTCAGACAGAGAAGAAACAACTGAGAGATGTCTTTGAGAAAGGAGACCTTTATTTCAACAGTGGAGATCTCCTAATGATTGACCATGACAATTTCATCTACTTCCAAGACAGAGTTGGAGATACATTCCGGTTGGTTTCTCTGAACTGTTGCTTGTTGTTATTGTTGTTGCTGTTGGTAAGCGCCGTTGAGTCAGTGCCGACTCATAGTGACACTGTATAGAGTTTCTGAGAAGAGACTGGTGAGTTTGAACCACTAATCCTGAGATTCAAACTGACCTTGCAGTCCAGTGCATTACCCTACAGCACCATCAAGTCAGTCTCCAACTCCTGGGGACCCCATGCACAAAGGAATGAAACATTTTCTGGTTGGTACTCTGTCATCCCTTTGATTGAACTGTTGTGTTTCATTGGCTGATTTTCAGAAGTAGCTTCTCAAGGCTTTCTTCCTACTCCATCTCAGTCCCGTGAAACCTGTTCAGCATCAGAGAATCAGATCTGAATCTTTTGCAAGGATGGCAAGAATTCTTCCACTAACTCACCACCGCCCCTTTCTTGGAATCTTGTTTGTTATCAGCAACTTATAGTGACCCAAGTGTGCAGAGCAGAATTGCTTCATAGGGTTTTCAAAGCCATGACCTTTCAGAAATAAGATTGCCAGGTCTTACTTCCGAGGCGACTGTGAGTGACCTGGAACCATCAGGCTTTAAGTTACTAAACTCAGCACTTAACCTTTTCCCACTGAATTTGTGAGCCAAAATAAACACAAGTGCAGTTTGACTTAGGTTAGAAATTGGAACTGCATCCTGCTTTGGAATTATTCTTATAATAATTAAATAATATATAATTTCCTTATATCTCATTGGAGTGCTTGTTCCATCTCCTGTATATTCAGAGAACAAAATAAATACATGAGACATGCCTGTGCAGAGCACATACTGATCCAGATGAGAATAATGTAGAAAAACTGAGTTTAATTTATGGAGTCTAAAAGGCGTAGTCCTTTCATCAACTCTTGCTTATCCTCCATGCTTAGTGGTCTCTGTTAGGACAGCCAAAGAGTTCATACTGCTTCTAGTCATGGGACCTCTGTTCAGATAAAAGCAAATTCAAATTAATGTGGAGTTAATCTAGTTGAGTAGTACTCTTGTGGCACTTCAGGATAAGCACTGGACTGTTAACCAAAAGGTTTGCAGTTGAACCCTACCAGCCACTCCTCAGAAGCCCTATACAAGGTCGCTATGAATCAGAACCAACTCCATGTCACTTAACAATAATCTATTTGAAGAGTTAGGAAGGGTTCAGAGTCCCTCCTCCCCTCTTGCCCACCCTCCATCTCACCATAGAACTCCCAGGTCAGTACAATGACATTTGAAAGCCATTGTAACAGTCCATGAAATGAGTTCTGTGCAATAGCATGGTTCTCCAGCCTCATGACACTTTCCACTGTTTAATCAGCTTCCTTCCAGCATAAACTTCCTGAGGACAGGCCCTGTGTCAGGCTGGCTCACTCCCATCTCTTAGCACAGAGCCTGACACACATAATTGTCTGCTTCAAGCAGTTAGGAACAGAAATGGCCTGACTGTAAAGAAAAAGCATGGGGTCTAGTTGAGAGCTGAGCTCCGGGACTCATGTCGGCCTCTGTACTATCAAGGCAGGTAAACCCTCTTGACCACAATACTTGCATCTATGAAATAAGTCCCTTCCATCTTCTCGTGACTCAGGATCCACAGCATTATTGCATGCCACCTTCATGTTAGCAAGAAGATACTTATGGGAGATCTAAAAATAGTTTTTAATGTAAAACAGACTTAACTTTTCACGAGCAAAATATATCACCTGGTTGTACATTAACGCAACACTTTTCTATGATTGTTGTTGTTAAGTGCTGTCGAGTCGTTTCCGACCCATTGTTGTTGTTGCTAAGTACCTTCAAATCGGTTCTGAATCATAGTGATCTGCTATAGGGTTTCCAAGGAGCAGTAGGTGACCTTGAACTGCCAACCTTGTGGTTCAAATTGACTTTGTAGTCCAGCGCATTAACCCACAGCACCACACATGGACTCTTCTCCATGATTAAAGCATAAAAATATTTCCCTCTTTGCTGTCATTTTGTTGTTGTTGTTAGGTGCCATCGTATAGGTACTGACCCATAGCAACCTAACGCTCAGCAGAATGAAACACTGCCCGACCTTGGCCCAGCCTCACTACTGTTGCCACGCTTGAGTCCATCGATGCTGCCACTTGGCCAATCCATCTCGTTGGGGGTCTTCCTCTTTTTCTC